TATTTATGATCTTAATCCCGCACTCAGAGTTATCTACTAATAAGACTACGCTTAAACTCCAAATTCCTTTCAAATTGTCTTTAAAAGATTGTGAACCGCACTTACAAAGCAAAGATTTAGGATTCGTTTCAATATTTGGCCGTTTGAATGAAAAATATACTCCGATTGCGCCAGTTAGAGTATATACATCAATTGTTTCATTTATAAAAATTTTTTTTTTTGAATAATGCATGAATGAAAAAATAAATATGACGATGTAATAATTAAAACGCTAATCTACAAATCTAATTATAATACTCATTCGACAAGTGACAAGTGGCGGCGATCGCTTTGGCAAGGATTTCGGTGGGTGGCCCCCTGCGCCCCCGCCCGCGGGGGCCGCGTTTTTTTCCAGACCCACCACCGAAGGGGTTGATTTTTTAAACTGATGACGCGCTTTCATTCCGCGCCGTGCAACTTGGCGCGCGGCTGTATGTGTGCCGCTTGTTGATAAATAAATGAAAAAAAAAAAACGAAATTAAAAAAAATCGCGAACGCTTTGTCGATAGTGCTCGTTTCCCTTTTGCGTATCTCCAGTGCGGTTCCGTTTTGAAGCGTAGAACTTTTGACGTACAGTAGAAACTTTTGACGTTAGTGTAAGAAACAGAATAATCGTGATAGTGTTTAACCGATTTGATAATTTTAATTGATAACAATTAAAATACAATTAACTATTTTTCTGTATTAAATGTATCTTTGTTATCTCTTTGCTTCAGTGAATTCGTATGGTTCACTAGTCAGTTTGATTCAAGGGAAGTTTTGAAGTCTGAAAAGTTCCGACGTCGCTACGTCCGCGAAATTATTAATTTAACAAGAAAAGACAACAGGACTGTAAGATACGATATTTTTTTAAAAAATAAAGTGAAAATTTCAACAGCCGTGAAGATAATGACATTGTCCTTTGTAAGTATTATTAATTTGTCTTTTATATTAAGAGTTGTAGATAATTTAACAAGATATAGTTTTTTTTAAACTCAATATATTAGTACTTTTATTAATCGACGTTGTTTTTATATAAAACGATTTATAAATGTCATAAAAATTGAAAAAATTCGACCCAACGCGTTTATGTCTATTCCTTTGCAAAATTTTTGGAATCGATCTTTTCACAAAATATTCCTACATCATTTAACAAATTTAAAATTTAATTATTGTTATATTAATTTAAATTATAGATTTATAACCTTTTGTTATCTACTTATTCTATTCTATTTCTTGTTTATGGTTATCTACTTATTAGCATACGTAATTGCAGAATCGGCAATCGATAATCTGTGGAAAAAATTTGTGTTTTATCAAAAAAACAAATGGTTAAAACATTTTTATGAATTACAACTCATTTGATAGACATTTATTATACAATTTGCGAATATAAATCAATGATTTATCTTTAATAATAAAACGGAATGTTTAATTATTGTTAACATTTAATATAATGTAATTTGCTTCGACTAATTGGTAGACGATTAAGAAATGATTATGTATTTAATACATCAATACTCAAGGCCGTTAAAACGTTTTAAAATAACTTATAAACATTAAATTTACACAATATACATATATAATCGATGTAATTTTATTATGAACTAGCTGTTTCCATGCGGCTTTATCTGCGTGAAATTATAATTTACTAGCTTTCGCCCGTAACACCGTTCGCGTGGAATTAAAAAAAACATAAGAGAGTATCCCAATTTTCATCGATATCGAGATTAGTATATCAAATTTCATCGAGATCTGTACAGCCGTTTAAGCTACAAACTCTAACAAACATCCATCTAAACATTCGCATTTATAATAAGAAATAAAAAGTAAGACTATTGTTTACATTAGTCAAATTCTCAATTTCAAATGTCACAATTACTATTATAACTTTGGTTCCTTAATGTTGACAGCTTAATGGACCCTTTTCCACATGAAGGTTTTATTTACTCCTTCAGTTTGAAAGCATGAAAATATATAGCCTAAAGCGTGTCGTATGTCTAGGGTTTCTTAATACAGAGAGAATTATTCGAAAATATGCCGTGATTACTGACATCCTACGACACGAAGTAGTGTGTGTTTACGCTTTACTATATTAGTATAGTTTGACATATAACATAACATTTCCTTAATTTTAATAGTACGGCTATAATATACCGGAATAGCCTTCGTAAATGTTTCTATATATAATGAAATAATTCAAAACAATCTAATTAAAATACACTAGCTATTAGTTGATACTTTGCCCGCGCGGAATCAAAAAATAATCGGACTAATAGTTTTTCAGTTCTTACGATAGATACAAAAATACAAATCTTTCCTCGTTATAATCTTACTAATATTATAAATGCGAAAGTTTAGATAGATGGATGATTGTTAGTGTTTGTAGCCTAAACGGCTGAACGGATCTTGATGAAATTTATCATAGACGTTAAGGATAGTCTGGAAGAACACAACTACTAACTTTTGTTCTTTCGAACTCCACGCGGACGGAGTCGCGGGCGAAAGTTAGTATTAGTATAGATGTAAAATAACTCAGGTAAACCATGAAATTAAAAATGAATTCAATAATTTAACTAATTGCAACATATTTTTAAACTAAACATTAGAACAGAATATTATAGGATACACAGTTTTACTTAAATTTGTTTCTCTGACAATGTATTATAACTCCTTACTTTGTAACAAAATGTGTCGGCATATTTGTTTCGTATTATTTATACCAAGTAATACACTTTTTAATATTACATCTAAATATCAATATTTTGCTTAAGCCCAACACTGACGCTTTGTATTTAACTAAAGACTTTATTATTTTAATCATGAAGTAAATATTAAACTTACAATTTTATTGATAATTTCACAATATAACAAATAACAATAATTTTAATTCATAATATGACTTGATTAATCCTTCACAAAATCTTTGAGATTTTTAATACATTGGTATCCGTCGGTATATTTCGTTGCAAATAATTAACTGCATTTAATGCGAAATTTATGATTTATTTTCTATGGATTACAGAATAAAAAAAAAACAATAAGTGGATGGCATATCGTTGGCTTTTGTCTGCCCAATGTTGGGCAAAGGCCTTATCAAATGCTTTTAAAGAACGCGGTCCTCTGCTTTCCGCAGCCAAAAACTTAGCGCCGTAATAAGCATATGAATCAAAGTTAATTTTAACAACCTAGTTATCATCAATTTTCCTACCTTATTCTACTACCGTAAGGTGACCGGGTTTTCGTCCTCCAAAGCACTCTATCATCCGTCATCTCAGTCATCACTCCCTTCTTGATCATGTCACCTTTCACGCAATCCATCCATCTTTCTCTAGGTCTATCTCTACCGGTGATCCCCGTGTTTTTAACAACTCAGTCGTTTAGTGTTTAGAACAATCGAACTATCTTACTATTATAAATGCGAAAGTTTGTATGGATGTATGTTGGTTGTCGCGTAACATGATATTTGGGTATATGTAAGTTTTTAATTTCCCGAAGTCACTGCCAACAGCTAGTTAATCATAAAAATCAATAAAAGATATAGATTTTATTATATTGAGTGTCAAGAGTGAATGTAAAATAAAAAAGGGGTTGTTCTCGTCCACCCTAACGCTTGCTAAGCTTTGATGCAAATTTACCCGCTAAACCCGGACACTTGCTCTCGGTGGAAAATACACACTCCTAAATGACGTACGGTGCATGTTTAACTCCTGCTGTTACAAAACTAGTTTGCTGTACTTAATATTATAAATCTGGATTTTCTTTTGTTTTCTTTAAACTTATATTTTTGTTGCTGAAAGTAATCTATACTATTATAATAAAGCGTAAACACACACTTCTTTGTTGCCTAAGATGTAAGTAATTACAGCATATTTTTGAATGATTCTTTTTTTAATAAAAAGCCCTACACTTACGTCACGCTTTAGACTATATATATTATCGCCATTAAACTTATGGGTTGAAATTTTGGATAAAAACCCTAATGTGGGAAAGAGACCATAAGTTGCTGCCAACATCAAGGAAGCAAGATTATCATCATGTCATGTCATTTTGACATTTGCAATTAATAATTTGATAAATGTAACAATAAAATAAATTTATAATAATTCCATGCGGATGAAGTCGCACGGGAATAGCTAGTACTTTATACAGCGTGTAAAATTTACAATAATAAATTGTTGAACTGCATTTAGCTGTACATTTTAAAAGTACACTTAACATTTGGAAGAATTATCTGAAACAAAAAACCATCATCAGCTCACTATTCGTCTCTACAGAGCGGCTTGAAGTACTAAGTTAGGGGAGACTAAGAAACTACGCTGGTCCCCAATGTAGGTTGAATGACAACAGATATTAATATATATGAACAGAAAAATAAACTTGTGTAACTGAAAACATTATTTAATTAATATAAACTAGTCGTAAACTAACCGAACTTTAACAGAAGAAATTATTGTAGAAAATGATCTATCCGTTGTGAAGTAATAATTTCATTCGGACATCTTATTTCATGCTTGTTTTAAATCTTTTGCGGTTAATTTTATTAAGGCACCAATTTGTGTTTTCAATTAACATTTTATTCTTGATCAGCAAAAATATTATGAAAATGTGTATGAGGACATTTAAGTTACATGAATACAGCTTCATTATTACTATTAGTGGCCACTAACGAATCTTAAAGAATACTTGTTGCCTCTTTTTCTTTTATAAAACAGGGATACGTTATGCTTTTAAAAGTCTTTCGGTAGAGAATAATCACAATAAGCCATAAATCATAGAGGCTTCTTACTTCTTACTATTACATTGTTCAATATTGCTATAGACTCGAAGGACCAAAATAAGTTACCAACGATACGGTTACACCTCTAAGTCAACCAAATGTATTGCTAGATGCTAGGTATTCTTTGATCCAGTGGCCTATTCCAAACTCTATTGCTGATGTGGTGTCATTCTCAGTTATTTATAAATGTATTGTTTGCCAGCAGGCGGAGTCGGATCGTGAGAGCGGCGCGAGCTCGCCGGAGGGTGGCGGACGACTGCCGGCCGAGGCGCGCTCGCCGTCGCCGCGTGCGCGCTCCCCCCACCATAACACGCACTTGAATGGCTCCAGTGAGTTCGTACAACAACTTATCCATTATTCGATGTTGTGTCTTCGTAGCAAGACGTCTAGATTGATTTTTGTGTGGGTAGAAATAAATTTTCTTCACGGTTATAATACTTTCAATGAAACCATGTAGATTTGTATTTTCTAAAACACTTAATGAAAGTTATAAAAATCTATTTTAAACCAAAGGATTCACTTTAATCTTAAAAATATAGCACAAAAGTTCGTCTAGCGTCTACAATAAAGCAACTATTGTTAGTCTGCTTACCATCGTAGATAGTTCTTATAAACAATTGCTTTATAACACAGTTTAAGTAAAATCTCTCTAGCAAAATGTATGTCGCATTAATAATAAACAAAACAAAGATCACTAGATGATAAGCAATCAGCAAGAAACATACTAAATGCACAAGGTATCAGTCTCAGCATAAACTTGATGACGACCAAATCTTCATGAAACGCAAGAATATAAAATCAAGCACCAAAGATGACTTACACTTTGCTCTTTTTGTGGCAACTAAAATAGCTAGAAATATAATTAGTTAGCCTCTTCACGCTGTATTTAACGTGTACACTGATCATTACCGTTGTCCCACAGTGGCGTCGATGTTCCAAAACCTCCAGAACTTGGCGAGCATGCAGCAAAACATGGCGCCCATGTCCCAGCAGCAGATGTCCCAGCAAATGTCCCAGCAGATGTCCCAGCTGGCCGCTAACCTACAGGGCCTCACCTCCATGCCTTCCAACCCTGTCATCAACTCGCCTTTGAACCTCAGCGTTAGCGCCCCAGGTAGGAAATCCTCATTTTACGCATTAGTTGTATTATTGGAATAGAAATGTTTATGTATGCATTGATCAAAAGAGGGCGCTATAACTAAAATTGAAACACTGTATTATTTTCCTTTGTACACATACTTTTCATAATTCATTTATTTTCTTTGGTCGTCCTCTATCTTTGTAGAAATCCACATTCAATCTCATTACGTTTGCGAGCTAATTTATGCAACTGTTTGACAAGTTTACTAGAATTAGTTACCATGACCGAGATCGTAAAGTGCAATCGTAACACATTATAGAGGTGAAATTATAATCTACGTGCCCTTTAAGAATTGCGTATCTTATCGTTCAATAATTCAGCGCCTACATATCATTTAAATGTATTTAGGTTGTTTTGCGTATAATGATGCATTATTGCTAAGAAATGTAACATTAACAAGTGACAATCGTTTTTAAATGCAAGTATAATATTGAGGCTGATCAATTGTCTAAATAATGATATAATATTAGTTGATTTTATGTGGCATTTATCAAACGCTTTTAGCGTTTGCAGAAGTAAAACAAACATCTAATCTTTTTCTACGTTTGTGTGCAAATAAATGGCTATCAAAATATCTGTTAGTGCTATAGTTTTAGTCCATTAGAGTAATCAGCTAAATTAAAAACCCCCCAAGTCGATGTCCACTTCGTTTTCCAGTTTTTCGCCACATTACCATTTGAAGCGGGATTCGAGTCGGCGGAGGGTAGGCCACTAATTAGATCGAATTAAACAGATTGGGATAATCAGCGAGACACGATTTGTGCATTAAAACTCTTGACTAAGGGCATCACGTGACTCGTAATTAGACGATTACCGAAACCAATCGATTTAATGAAAGTGAGATAGCGGCCTCGCTAGCCCGCCCATTAAACTATGCCCTGATGGATAAAAAAAACCTATTTAAATAATGAGTATAATTATATATTTTTTCACGACGCCACGGATGTTACGTGTGTTGCGGTATCATTAAGAATTTTATTGTCTTAATAAAGCTAATTATATATTTTTTTCGGCACTTAATTGATACGGCGCAGGAAAGAGCATTTATTACGAAATTTGAAATGTCATGGTTTATATGAATGCGTTATGTTAATGCTGACTTTAACGGGCGTGTAAGACGCATTGATAATGCCTTAGATTTTGGTGGGGCCGTTTTGTTCGCGGGGAAATTAGTCTTGCTCGGTTGCCGATGGATCTTTGTGTAATTCTCTATCGTTGTTTTATTACGTTCGGCGTCTTTTGTAATTAACTATATTATTTTATTGTCTCGATTAATAATTTTCGTTGTAGAAAGCCATGTTTCGAACGTCCAAAGAATGTTTCGCCGTGACCGATGCGTTTACTATTTAATAAATTTTAATTTGTAAGCTAAATATGTAGATACATTGTACGATTAGGGACGCAGTCATTATCGATGTTTTGTTATATGTAGAGACAACAGAACATCGATTTTATAGCTTCGATTAACGGTTGTACACAATTGTTTTGAAATTTAACACTTGCAAGAGACAAGATAATATTGAGCAATGTAAACGATTCTCAAAACAACTAAAAACAATGATGCGCATTTAGCAATTGTGTTGACATTTATTACACTTGTAATTGTTTCACGAATTTTTATCAATGTCCATAAACTTTGATGTGTTCCATTGTGCCTGAACCGTTTGCAAATTTGATTTAGGAGTCAATTCAGATGATGATCGTATTCTTTCCATGCAGTTATTCGTTATCGGGATTTTTTTGTATTTGTTCTTTGTTCTCACCAGTATATTGTATTGTCAGCAGGCATGGGGTCGCCGACGCCGGTGGGGAATAGCAACATGCTGCCACCAGCGCTGCCCTCGCCCATGCCACAACTCATCCTCGCCTCCGGACAGCTGGTGCAAGGCATACAGGGCGCGCAGCTCCTCATACCCACCTCACAGGGTAATTATTCTATTGCTAAGTCAGAACAAAAGATCGAATCTGTTTAAACTATTATACAGTTTCAATTCTTATTTATACAAATGCTCTTTAACAGGAATCGCAACGCAAACCATCCTCACGATACCTGTCAACCACGTGAACTCAAACGACCAAATGGTCAACTTAGCGCTCAACAACGGCCAAGTAGTGTCAACGTCACTGGCCAACCTCCAAGCGATGGCCCAACCTCACCAGCTTCTAAACTCCAACCCGCAACAGCCGGCCAACATTAGACCCAACATGCTGAATCCAACGCTATCGAATGCGCTATTGAACCCGGGTTTGCCAAACTTCTTGACCAACGGAGCGACCAATGCTCAGGAGTTATTGCAAGCACTTCAGCAACAGCCGCAAGCGAATCACAACCTTCTGCAGACGGTGCAACAGAACAATATGCCGCAACAAATGCAAGGCAGGCGGTCGTCGTCGCCGCGCTCCGACAGGCATTACAAAGAGAGGGAAACCTTTGAGAGATTCGCCGGAGGTCCCAGAGAGAGGAACGAAAGGGACAATGTTGGAGCAGCTGCTTTAAACAGTATTAACAGGTTAGTGATGTAAATTTCCTTTACTTCAATTTTAATTTGAACCTTTTAAGATAGGGTATGTCTTCTAATCTTCAGTTAAAAGCGTATCAGTGACATCCAAGATCGAAATGTTATGTTTCTTAAACTAGAAGTAAAACTTTCTCTGACAGTGCGGCTTCTTTTTATTATCCGATGCAATCTAATGTTATCACAACAAATACTTTATCCCGCTATCAAGAATTATCGCTGACAATTATCAAGGAACGTTTAAAAGTCGTCAATTTGTCAGAATAGCGACCTTACGACTTTGAGAATTGGGCCGTAATGGTGTACAGATAAGGCCGGCTCGGAGCGTGGGTGCGATGACAAATGTTGCTTGTAATTAAGTGACAATGAGTGTAATTACACTCGGCCGACGCTACACAAGCACGTGTGCACATTGTGTGTGCATGTGTGGGTTTGCATGTGTGGGTTACTAATCAACGGCTGTTGTGAGACAAGTAGGGTAAGCATTCCAAACTGATTTCATAGTGACAATTTGTACATGTTTATTCGAGAAATTAAGGATTAGATATACCAATAATATGACGAATTAAGTAATAGATTAATAATGGTAATACTTATTACTAAAACTTTTTATCTTATTGTTTAATTACCAAATCGATCTTGAAGTTACATGGAATATCTTGTTATAAATAAAAGTGCGTGTAACAAAGTATATTACAAGTAAAATGCTTTTGTAGTTAATTATTAAAAAATACGAAGTAGAATACAAAAGGACTAATTAAAAATGAATGACTAATGCGGCGCATGCAAAAACATTATTACCATTTCAATTTCGAATAGAAAGAGTCGATCGTATCGCGCGGGGTAACGTCCCTTTGCTCATTAACTCTAATTATTTGGTTCTCGTAATTCTTTATTACGTAAAAAAAGTCATTTATCAAACCTTCTGTTTTATCTTTAATGACTGTTTTAAATTAGGAATGTGTTTTGTTGTTTGGAACTACAAAGTAGCAAATTACTTATACTTCGACATTTAGTGATAAATGGTAAAGAAAAATTCGCTTCATTAACTTCATGTTTATTAAATAGAACTACATTGTATCTTAACGCTCTTGTATATTATAATTTCATTGGTATTTTAACTAAGTTAGGTTTCTGTACTCAGATGAATTAAATTATCGAAGACTGGTAAAAATCATAACTTCTGTCAGACTGAGAATAAATGTTTATGGGAATATCGAGATGAACGCCATCTATTTACGAAGTTATGAAACAAATTACGTAACTAGGGTTGTGCGTCATGTTTTTGTTTTATTAGATTACTAATTTTTTTTAATACTGGCAACTAATAAATACATTAAAACAATGCCTAAATCGATATAAAAGAATTATTTAAATCGATTAATCGCATTGGAAAAATGTGATTAGTTATTTGTCATCGCGCCATGTGCTAGTGAAATGTAAAAAAAATATTTAATGACATGTCGCTCGGAAACGAGCTTGAAGCTTTGATAAAACGAAGCGTTGTTAAAAGGTTAGGATTTCCAAATCATGTTTAAATGCAAATTAAGTATTTGTCGTTATTACTTTATCATTAAGTAATAACGACAAATAAATAGTTTTAATTTATTTATCTATTCTTATGCAAATAAAAGATTAAATATTCTTACGAAACCTCGTAATTTAATCTATATCTATACTAATATTACAAAGAGTATAGATTTGTATTTTTGTATGTATTGAAATAACTCAAAAACTACTGGGCCGATTTTGGAAATTCATTCACCGTTAGAAAGGTAAATTATCTACGAGTAACGTAAGGTACATTTTTTTAATTTACACGAGCGAAGTCGCGTGAAACAGCTTGTTATCGATCTTTTGATTGTTTTACATGTTAATGTCCATTTTTTTAATTAAAAGATAACGATGGTACATTAATTTAAAAACAATAAAAGTGGCATATTTGTAGCAATAGCATTCCTTATATACCGTTTTGCCGTTTTTGTCTCACATATGTTTATTCATGTGTTACGATACTTTTATGCAAACGATATCGATTCTTTTTCAAGGAATCGATAATGACAAAGTTCTTACGTCACTACAAACATGCGATCGCTTTTTTGATCGAGTCCTTACTATTGATTAGTATACGATGTAACAAAAAGTGCTGCCATCTGTTGAACATAATTGTACTTAATAAACATTGTTGTATACAATAGCGTTTTTAATGCAATATTGGCAACATATTAACAACATTAAGTGCGGGCGCACACCAGTGATTAAACTATCGCACAACTGTTGTGCGATTGTCGATTGTTTCGCAGACAATTCAACTGTTTAGTTGCACAACTAAAAATCAAGTAGTGTGCGCTTCATATAACCTCATGGGAATCAAAGCGAGACTAAACAGTAGAGCTATATTTTAGTCAAAGATGTGCTCGCGCTCTTAATGTGCATTATTAATATACTAGCTGTCGCCCAATACTCCGTCCGCGTGGAATTTAAAGAAAAATAAAAACAAAATAGGCCTATGTGTTCTTCCAGACTATCCTCTACATCTATGCCAAATTTCAACGAAATCGGTTCAGCCGTTTAGGGTACAAACTTTCATAGTGGTAGAGCCCGCTTTAACATCTTCGCACGAATGGGCCGGCTCGCCCAGTGCAATACCACGACCACACAGAAAACAGGCGTGAAGTGGAAGCCATTCCGTGTCGAGGCCTCATTTTAGTCACTTTCCCTTTCCACCCGTTTCTTAAGAGGAAAAGATGGGAAGGAAAAGTGGATTTGATGGTGAAGGAAACGAGGAATTGGAAATGTCCTCTTACTGTGCGTCCACTCATCCATTCATTAAAAGTACGTTATCCATCTGTTTTTAGCAGCTATTTAGCGCTATTTCAGCGAATTCGGGAGGCCGCATACAACCTTCTAGTAAAAAAAACTTCTACAATTTGATATGAATTCTACTTAAAGCGTATAGTAGTTCATTTGTTTATTTGACTTTTCTAGTTATTTACATACCTAGGGTTCACTCATATAGACTTGAATTAAATGACTCGATATTAACAAAATCTGGCAGTTATTAGTTTATCTAAACAAAAAAACAAATATATCTATAATCTTACTAATATAAATGCAAAAGTTTAGATGGATGTTTGTTTGACTTTGTAGCGTAAACGGCTGAACGGATCTTGATGAAATTTGGCATAGAAGTAGAGCTTAGTGTGGAACACATTGGTTACTTACTTTTTTAATGCATGCGGATAGTCGCGGTTACAATAATAGTTTCTTTTTAGCCGACCTATATTAGTTATACAATCAGCGTATCGTTACGTACATAATAAGGAAAACCAAGGCGCCCATTCTACTATTATCTATTTTAATGAGGTATTTAATGCTAATTGCAGACAGGATGTAATGTAGCTTGGTGCTGATATAATTACATAAATAATGCTGCATTCACGCACTTTATAAACAATTTTCTGGTGTTGGCCGTGCGGAAAACGTTAACGCAAATACGACTATAACTGTCACATGTGGCCTATATGAGTGAAACAAAACTTTGCAGTTTGCAGTTGTCCTTTTCATTCTCCTTGGAAATAACAGAAATGACATCTTGTACGTGTGTTATGGTAATGGAAACTAATCGTTATAACTGTTATTTCGTTATAACAAATTACATAAATAATTTAACACACAATTACAGTAGAAATTTTTATATTTTAATTACGTTTATAATTAATAATTCTTAATGTGTTTATATTGTATACATTTCTATTAATACTACATAGTATAAAAAAAATCCGACGAATTGAGTACCTCCTTCTTTTGGGAAGCCGGTCAAAAAGTCGCTTTTTACAGTCTGTACCTATGTGTGTTAGATCTTTGAAAAGCTATGCAACGGATTTTGATGCAGTTTTTTTATAAAAGAGTGATTCAAGAGGCAGCTTAATACGTGTAAAATAGAGCATTACGGTTTATTTGAGACGTTTCTTATTTATACTAATATTATAAAGAGGAAAGATTTGTATTTTTGTATGTAAAGCCGTACACTTACGTCACGCTTTAGGCTATATATTTTCACGCCATTAAACTTAGGGGGTAAATGTTTTGGATAAAAACCCTAATGTGGGAAAGAGACCATAAGTTGCTGCCAACATTAAGGAAGCAAGGTTGATAGGTTTGTCATCGTCATGTCATTTTGACATGTGCAATTGATAATTTGACACATGTAAACAGTAACATAAAATTTCATAATTTTATGCGGATGAAGTCGCACGGGAACTGCTAGTTATAATTATAAAGAGAAAAGATTTGTATTTTTGTATGTATTGAAATAACTCAAAAACTACTAGGCAGATTTTAAAAATTCTTTCACCGTTAGAAAGGTAATTTATCTGTAAGTAACATAGGCTACTTTTTTATAAATTTTTAACTTCACGCGGGCAAAGTCACTAGCAAACAGCTAGATATAAACACTTAATTGTATCAATAATCGACCCGTGCGAAGCCGATGCGGGTCGCTAGTTAATATAAAAAAGGAGAAAGACGTCGGTCATTGACAATATATACAGAGTTATATATTAAATCTTGTTTATCCGTAAATTGAGCATTTAAATAGTTAATACGCTCAAATGTTGAGATATCTATACGCGATAATGTATTCAAACTCGATATCCAACACTGGATCTATTTATCACCATTGTATTAAGTTGATTATACGAACACTTAATGCCACGACTGTACCTAATTATAGGTAACCGATCAACTTACGTGACAGCGATAAACTTAAAAAGAATGACCTTTTCAAGGCTTTATATGTAAAAGAAGTTCGAAAGTTCAATGTCAGAATAACGTTGGGCTTCCACAGTATCATGCGTACAAAAAACATTGTTACACTCATTGTCTTTGAACCTGAAGGAAAAAAATGTTTACAGTCAGCTGCATAAATTCAATACAATTATAAGTTTTACTGGGCCGACTGTACATGTCGTCTGCGGTAAGGAAACGGTGGA